GATACTTACTGTTCAGAGTTACTTAATGTTCATAGATACTTGCTGTTCATAGTTAATCATCATAACATATAATTCCCAACTGGTTCTCACATCCCCGGAACGAAGTGACTGCTGCCGGCCAAGTTTCAGAAATGTGTTGCGTTACAAAAGTTGCAAGTCATTGTTTATTAGTGGTCATAGATACTTACTGGTAAAAGTTACTTCCTGGTCAAAGTTACTTGCTGTTTATTGATTCTTACTAATCAGAGTTAATAACTGATCATAGTTACTTCCTGGTCAAAGTTACTTGCTGTTTATTTATACTTACTAATCAGAGTTAATTACTGATCATAGTTACTTACTGGCCAAAGTTACTTGCTATTCCTTGATACTAACTAATCAGAGTTAATTACTGATCATAGTTAATTAATGATCATAGTTCTATAAATCGTCCGATCGTTCCTATGGCAGCCATATATATGTATATATATAGTCCAGCGATACTCCATGCTCCGACTTATATATTAGTAAAATTATAAAGAAGAATAAGTCCATAGTTTCCTTCAAATAGCTTTAATTTGTTCCAAAACAAATCTCGCGCGTCTGTGCATATGATTCCCAACTGATTCTAACATCCCCGGAACGAAGTGACTGCTGCTGGCCAAGTCTCAGAAATGTGTTGTGTTACAAAAGTTGCAAGTCATTGTTTATTACTGTTCAAAGTTAGTAACTGATCACACATACATACTTACTGGTAATAGATATTTACTGATCATAGTTACTTACTGGTCATAGATACTTACTGTTCAGAGTTAATTACGGATCATAGTTAATTGCTGGTCATAGATAGTTACTGTTCAGAGTTAATTACGGATCATAGTTAATTACTGGTCATAGATACTTACTGTTCAGAGTTACTTAATGTTCATAGATACTTGCTGTTCATAGTTAATCATCATAGCATATGATTCCCAACTGGTTCTCACATCCCCGGAACGAAGTGACTGCTGCCGGCCAAGTCTCAGGAATGTGTTGTGTTACAAAAGTTGCAAGTCATTGTTTATTAGTGTTCAAAGTTAGTAACTGATCACACATACGTACTTACTGGTAATAGATATTTACTGATCATAGTTACTTACTGGTCAGAGATACTTACTGTTCAGAGTTAATTACGGATCATAGTTAATTACTGGTCATATATACTTACTGTTCAGAGTTACTTAATGTCCATAGATACTTGCTGTTCATAGTTATTCATCATAACATATGATTCCCAACTGGTTCTCACATCCCCGGAACGAAGTGACTGCTGCCGGCCAAGTCTCAGGAATGTGTTGTGTTACAAAAGTTGCAAGTCATTGTTTATTAGTGTTCAAAGTTAGTAACTGATCACACATACGTACTTACTGGTAATAGATATTTACTGATCATAGTTACTTACTGTTCAGAGTTAATTACGGATCATAGTTAATTACTGGTCATAGATACTTACTGTTCAGAGTTACTTAATGTTCATAGATACTTGCTGTTCATAGTTATTCATCATAACATATGATTCCCAACTGGTTCTCACATCCCCGGAACGAAGTGACTGCTGCCGGCCAAGTCTCAGGAATGTGTTGTTACAAAAGTTGCAAGTCATTGTTTATTTGTTTTCAAAGTTAGTAACTTATCATAGATACTTACAGGTCAGAGATACTTACTGTTCAGAGTTAATTACGGATCATAGTTAATTACTGGTCATAGATACTTACTGTTCAGAGTTACTTAATGTTCATAGATACTTGCTGTTCATAGTTAATCATCATAACATATGATTCCCAACTGGTTCTCACATCCCCGGAACGAAGTGACTGCTGCCGGCCAAGTCTCAGGAATGTGTTGTGTTACAAAAGTTGCAAGTCATTGTTTATTAGTGTTCAAAGTTAGTAACTGATCACACATACGTACTTACTGGTAATAGATATTTACTGATCATAGTTACTTACTGTTCAGAGTTAATTACGGATCATAGTTAATTACTGGTCATAGATACTTACTGTTCAGAGTTACTTAATGTCCATAGATACTTGCTGTTCATAGTTATTCATCATAACATATGATTCCCAACTGGTTCTCACATCCCCGGAACGAAGTGACTGCTGCCGGCCAAGTCTCAGGAATGTGTTGTTACAAAAGTTGCAAGTCATTGTTTATTTGTTTTCAAAGTTAGTAACTTATCATAGATACTTACTGGTCATAGCTACTTACTGACCATAGTTATTTAGTGGTTATAGTTACTTACTGGTCATAATTACTAAATGTTCATTATAGAAATAGTATTCTTCTGCTGATAGTAGCTCACAAATATTCTTTAAACAATACATTTTTTATACAACAAATATATATCTTGATCTTTGATGATTTTCCTAGTTTTCCCCAAGTGTACTTGTACATTTAGAGATGTCATTTTCTGAGCTTATCGTGGCCTCCGAGCAAAATAACCGCAAAAGCCAATTAAAGTCAAATTTCCTTCTGACGGAAATGGAGTCGCGACACAAACGGACAGACCATGTCCGGTGCAGACAGGTAATCATGGCCAAAGAAGCTATGCTGCAACACGATGCACCTCTCAAATGCCACCCAAAATATGGCCAGCTCCAATGGCAAATAACAAATATCAAAAGCAGAGCCACAGCCAAGCTCAAGTGTACAAAGTGTACATAATATTTATGTGCAGGTAAACAGCTACACGCCCTTGCCAGAGTTCAATGTTTGCACTTTTCGCCTCCACAACGGCTTTTCCTCTACTGCTGGTACTGCTGACTTGGCAGCAAAGCTTGTAATTGTAGTTATGACCTCACAACTATGGTTATTTTTAAACTATGACTGGATTTGACGATGAAAATAGGGTGGTATATAATGTAATACATTGTTAGGTTGTAATGTAACCTAATTTAAAGTTTATCAGGGAATGAACTACAATTATTTATTTAACACCCCAAGAGCTCTCCATAATCCATAGACAAACCCTCACTTCCTAGATATATGGTCTTATTCTGAGGGTTTTCCTAATCAGATAACAAAGTAACTAAAGTTGACACTTTGTGGAAGCGCATGGAATCTTCGGTAATTTCCGTTTTCCATCTGTGAGCCGCTTTGTTGGCAGCTCCCCTCTACCGCATGATATTGACATAGTGGCACCCAAAGTTCATCTCTGGCGGCGTTCTGCCTGCCCAAGTTCATTCACTTTTCGACGCGCTTCGGCAATAATTAAGAGGGAATCAGTGAGCTGTTGTAGATTATGCTCGCTTGATTTTTATCGCATAGCCACTGCGGGTGCGTGTGTATAGTGTGTATGGTGTGTATGGTGTGTAGTGTGTAGCGTGCGTGCCGAACCGTCTTAACAATCTATTTTGGCCATAACGCGCAATTGGCACTCATTATCATAGTCACCCACTCCCCCGAGCTGGCCATAAAGACAAACTGTCGCTTTATTTATTTTGGCCTCACTTTGGGCTCTCGCCGCGTGAGTGTGGTCAGGATTCCATATACTTATATTGCCCCGCGGCGAAGCTCTGTTTATGGCCTACTTCATGCAAATCCATTGTGGAGCTAATGGACGTTATTCCCCACATCTAACTTTTCACTTTCGGAGTATTTTGGTAATTGCTTGAAAAGGCCTTGTGTTCTGATTCATTGGTTATTTTACTTATTCACTTATGGGGCCTGTAACTCTTTGTTTTTTTTTTACAAATAAACGTACTATGATATTTGTTTTTAAGAAGGGCATTACTTCATTACTAATGCATGGTTAGAAATTTGTTGATGAAAACATACATAGACTCAGCTTATAGTATATTCTCCTCCAGGGTATTAGCATGTTCACAACCTTAAGCATTTCATTTTTAGGCATTGGATTTTGGCATGTATGCGATGGAGGCTAACCTTGCTGGCAGTCAGAATTTTCGACATTTCAATTCCGCTTTTCCCTTTGGCACTTGTCCTTTTGCTCCTTTTTCATTCCTTTATGCTATGTGGCATGCCCAGACGGGGAGTCATAACTCTCGGCTTTATGTTGGAGGTGCTTGGGAATCCGACATGCCTGTAGCATGACATAATAATGTCACCCCCAAGGAGCCTTCTCGGTTCGCCTTCCCCCGTACGAAATGATATCTCACTCTAAATAATTCGTCATCGCTGGCACGAGTGTTGGTTGTGTGTGGTTGTTGTGCGAGGGGAATCGGGGGTGTTGTGTGTTGGAGTATCTATATATGCTAAGTAGCTGTTGCTGTGGAGGAAGGGATTTGTGGTGGCACTGGGGTGCCATCGACAGAAAATTGTCTCCTCTACGTGGCTCGTTTGAATACGTTTGAATCAAATCGTTTCACTGGCGGGCAATGATATAATACTCGAATTTTGCATGCACAACAAAGCCCCAAAGTGGATATATAATGTCATATATATGTATATTAAATATATATATATCTGAATAAACGCTTGCAGTTGTGCACAGGAAAGATATCAACGATATTCGTCATCAATTCGGTGCGAAAGTTTGAATGAACTCTCGAAGTTTAAAATAATGAAAATGCTGTGCAGGATTCATTTCCGACCATACATATTCTTGATCAGCGTCAATAGCCGACTTGATCTAGCTATTGAACCCATGATCCATGGCTAACTACAAGGATTTACAAGGCTTCCCGAAGCTAGCTTCATTTCTTGTTACCTTATCAATTTATACAAATTCATAAACATGAACTTATTAAGCTAGGAACAGCTTGTTTGCCACCGTGTTTATATTTTAAATTGTTATCGTAAGCCGCAACTTTCCAGAGAAACGCCTTGTAGCGACCTCGGATGTGACTAATTCTACGTTTCGTATATTTATATGCCAGCGATGCACGCTAAATCAGAGATGCCTTTGAGAAAACTCAAGCTTTTCACTAAATATGAACTTATAATATTAAGTCTTACATTATATTCTAGTTTAAGGGAAATTTAAAAAAAGCAACCTTTGGTATACTTGTTAAAAAATCAACCAAATCTGTCATAGTCAGCTGTCAATATCACTCCAGTGACAAAAATAGAACGAAATATTTGCTTTACTTGTTTTAAAATCAGTCATGAATCCACTCAGTACCAAATCGCAAATTCTGGATATGACCAGCGACCAGGTGGATCAGTTGCATGGTCTGTGGGAGCAAATGTTTCCACCCGAGACCTGCGAGGAGCACCTTCAAAGGCTCAAAGAGCACATTAAGGATTTCTATGACGATTTGCTAAACGAGTCGCGCGAGAAGGAACAGACCATCTATGACAATATTGCCAGTCTTCGGGAGCAGGCCAACCATCTTGGACACCAGCTTTCGGAGCCGTTGGATGTTACCGAGAAACCGGATGACGTTCCCCTGGTCATCTGGCAGCTGAAGCTGGAAAAGAGCATTGAGTTCCTACAGGATAAGCTGGCCAGCCGCCGGGCGGAGATCGGCAAGCTTCTCCTTGTGGAGCAACAGATCTGCCACCAACTGGGTGAGCTACCACTTCCACTGCCAGTAGATCCACTGCCTCTGCCAGAGAAACTAGGAACCATTAGGGATCACATCGATCAGCTGCGAGACCTGCGAGAGGAACGCATAAAAGAAGTGGACCTGCTGCGTCGGAGCATCAAGAAAGACATGGAGCTGCTGGAGTGCATACCAACAGACTCCGAGAAGCGACTGCTGAACCAGGCTAATCACTGCCTCACACCCGATGACTTGGAGCAGCTGCGTCAAATGCAAAAGGATTTTGCCGACCAGATGGGGGAGCTACGCAAGCGAATCGATGACATGCGCGAGAAGATTTCGGTTTTATGGGATCAAATTCAGGACAAGGACGAAAATGCCAGGAAACGGGTACAAGAATCGGTAGCCTATACACAGTACACTCACGATATCCTTGTGGAAGAGTTGCAGCGCTGCCAAAATCTCCGAAGGCAGAAGATGAAGACCTACATCGAACAGCTGCGCCTGGAGATAAAAGAGTTGTGGGATCTCACCCTGAAGAGCACACAGGAGCGCAAACGATTCTACCACAACGAATGGTATCCGGACCTGCTGGAGCTACACGAATTGGAGTATGACGACCTTCAGACATTCTACAACAAAAACAAGGAGATCTTTAAGCTGTTCAAAGCCCGTACAGTACTTTGGGAGCGCATGCTAGCACTGGAGGTCAATACCAGCGATCCCAACCGCTTCAACAACCGCGGCGCCCAGCTGCTGAAAGAGGAAAGGGAGAGCAAAGCCATTACGTCCAAGTTGTCCCAGATTGAGCAACAAATCATTGCTTTGGTACGGGCGTACGAGACCCGTGAGAACACTCCGTTCCTGGTGCACGGCGAGAACATATTGAAGCGCATGGCCGACGACTGGGAGCAGTATCGCCAGACCAAGCAGCATAGCTTCCGCAAGAAGGCCGAGAAGACCTTGCAACCCACTGCTCCGGGCTCGCTGCGTAACTTGTCCGCCTTGTCCAGCTCCACAAGTTCGCTGCACAAGTCGGCTTCGCAACAGTCTCTGAAGCCTTTGAATAAGCTTCCTCCTTCGAGCAAAAAGGAGACTGCAAAGACATCAAGCAAAGACATCAAGTCCCAGAAACCATCTCCAACTATTCGGAACACCAGCCAGCGCCTGCTGATGCCTAGTCAGAAAACAAACCAGTTAAAAGCAGCAAAGCCTCCGCTAAAGGAAGTTGGAACCTCTAACATTACTTTGCGATCCACCAAAATGTTGAACACAAAAACCTCAAAATTCAATTCCTACCAAGACGAGAACTCCAAGCCCGAATGCAAAGCAGCTAAACCTTAGCAAGAGAACTTTAGCCTCTAAAGATTAACTTAAACTGCCAAAAACCCAAGTACTTTATTGTCTCCACTTGATATTTCTATTACTGTTTTATTTATTTGGCATTATACGTTTCGTTAATAAAATTTAATTGTGTTTTTAGTTTGCCAACGAAAAAGATATTGATCTGTATTTAACATGGAATGCCACAGTGGATTTTAATTGCATTTCCGTTCTGTCTGCGAGCGTTCTTCGTTCCACTTCTCGCTCCAATTCCGATTTCGATTCCAAGTCTGATTCACAATCTTAATCACATTCTCTCGGTTCTCTCTATGTCTCTTTGCAGAAAGCGTCAAATCCATACTTGGTCGCCACACAAAGATACTGGTCAAGTATATGGTCAAATTGGAGACGAAAGGCGATAAGACGGAGAATCGTGTTTTGGTAAGTGGATCCCCGGCAGTATATCTCTCTGTGATTGGCCTGGCTTTCAGCTACTTGAATGTTTTCTCTGCCTCAGTGGCAGTGCCGACGGGCAGCAGACGCCGCCTGTCAGCGGCACAGATTCAAATTGCTCCATCTGGGGGTAGTCAGTGTCCAATTTGTGCATGGAAATTGCATCCTCCTCCAGCCTAATTGCCACCAATTCGCAGGAGGCTACCGTATTGCCTCAAGTGCAATTCAAGTAATGAATATCTGGCTGCCAGAGCTGAGACGTCCTATTTAAGGATGAGTTTAGCATAGCTTAAGATATGAATTTAGTTTCAAAGATAACTTTAGGAGAGTTTACTAAAGTGAAACTAAAAGCATAATAGTAAAGAACTTAAAAGGTAAACAATTTCCCACCTAACTGCTTTAAATTGCACCTTCCACCCCCGGAGAACATAATAGAACGCGGTCTAATATATCTATTAAGCTGCCAACTTAGCTAAGACCCTCAAGTCTTGTACATTCCGATGGGGGGCAACCGATTTGCACTTGCCCGTAGGCCTGCAACTGGCCCAGAACCGTAATTGATATTTTATGGCATACTTAGCGGCGGCGGGCACGACTTCTATCCTAACCCACCTGGGCCATAGGGACTTCAGCTATGCTAATTCCATGACTGGCCACTTGTACGGCCGCTTGGAGAGCGCACAGAGCTGGAAAATTGATTTGTGCAAGCGGCTTACAAGGTGGCAGAGACAAAGTGTCCAATTACCAAAGTCGATGGGCCCAACTCCTCCATGGAGACCCCGAGCTCCTCCAGCTGCCGTTTGGCCCCTGCATTTGAGTAGCTAAACGAATTACTTGACGCACTTTGATTTGCCATTAAAAGCTGCGAACTTTCCTCAATCAATTCTGGCAAGACAAAGGCTGTCCAAATTGAGTTTCAGTCCTCTTATAATGGAGTTATACTCCACTGATTGTCTGAGAAATGGCCTCCATCAGCCCACCCCCATCTCCTTGAGGTCTTAGCCATGCATGTTGGCACGCATGTCTGGCCCGTGTTTTTCTTGTTTGCCAATTACAACACTTTTCACTCACGTGCTGCAACTCATCTGTGTCTCTACCTTTCCCCGCAGGTCTTTACCCCCGTGAGGATCTATTTGCTCAGTGCCAAAGTGCCCACCAAGGTAAGGAAATTATCTATATATAATGCACACAAATTATTAATGAATGTGTAACCTTTTCCAGATCGAATGCCATTTCCACTACCTGGACATTGTGGGAGTCGAGAGCAAGAGATCCACCCATTTCTCCATCGTCACCAACGATCGGCCATACTCGTTTGCCACCACCGGCGATGCGGGCAATTTCAGCTCGGTAAAAGCACCGCTTGCTGTAATCATTTGTTCCATATGTAATTACCTTGGTTCTGTTTGTGTTCATTCTGCAGAACGCTGATGTCATCCTGACCGACCTGGCCTCGGCCATCAAGCAGATATTCCCAACAGTTCCTCTGAAATACATCATCCGCAAGGCAAGTGTATTGACATTAACGATAAGGGGATAGATTTTAGAAATAAGATAGGTTTTCTTTCCTCAACAAATTCACAATAAGAAAATATGTGTATCTTTAAATATGCTTTCTGTAGAGAAATAGTGACCCATCGCTTTAACCTACAGAACATGGTTGAGTGGTGCTGCTTCGACCGCATGTGACTCACGTTGGGCTTTAATTAATGTTTAATTAAATATTTAGTGAACAATTGCGGGTATCTGCTGTCCATGTGGAACATGTTCGCTTATATGTATGTATGGATCTCACCCACTGTGTCATCCCCGCCCATGTCCAATTAGGCTGTAAGTGCATAAACGTCGCCATCTGCAGTTGTTGGGTTGGGGGTTAATAATTCAATGCATTTGTAATGCTCCTGGCCCCAGCACAATGTAAATTATGCCGACTACGTTTATGCTAATCGACTGGGGAGTTGGGGAGCCAACAATACACCCACGACTGTATATAGTTTATAGTTCCCTCAGCCATTTGTTGTGCGACTTTTATCTGGCAATTCGACTTGGAAGTGGCAGCAACAACCATTGAAGCTTAGATAATTGCCGGCGGGCACGCGACCTGGGCGTCATCAGGTTGACGCCTTCAAATGTAGCCATCAAGACTCACATTTACCACGAGTGTTAAATGCGAGATTAAGTTAAGTTTTAAGCGGGGAGGCACCAAAGGGACGGTGTGCTGCTGAAGGAGGTTAGCAGGCAGTCCGAAAACTTTGCATTGTTCTTGCTCAAGTTGGTCAACTTCAGTTGCTGCTGCTGAACAACAAAGACGGACACTTGAGACCTAAAAACTTTTAAAATGAATTTTTGCATCAGGTCAGTGAACTGTTTCTCTACTCTCCCCACTTTCAGATCGATATACAGCCGCCGGAGCGAGAGACCATATTCTCAGAGGAATTTCGACCCTCCGATCCGCGCAATGTAGGCCCCTGTGGGGGATTCAGTGCCCAGTACGCCTGCATGTGCGACTTCCATAGTGTTCCGTATCGCGAGGAGGTAGCCTGGGATGTGGACACCATTTACCTGTCGCACGATACGCGAGTCCTCAACCTGCGCGATTTCGATCACCTGGAACCAAAGTGAGTTCTTCAATCGTTGAAGATTATTCTTGTTATTAAATTTATGCTTTTTTCAAAAACAGAGACTTGATGGCCATCGTTTCGGCGCTGGAGTACAACACGTTTTTTCGTGGCCTAAAGGCTGCCCATATGCGATTGTCCCACGAGACCCTGGAACGCATCCTGCACGTGCTCAAGCGATCAATGTGGCTGGAGGAGCTGCATCTTGAGGCACTCGGCCTAAGGTGAGTTTTTACATAACAAATAGAAACTGGGAATAACTATCACGTTCTTCTACTGCAGATCGGATTTCCTGAACAAGTTATCTTTATCTGTGATAACGAATAGCAATCCCGCCATTCGCACCATCGATCTGAGCCACAATATAATTGAGGATAAAGGTGCGTACTTTAGAATCCCTTGAGGCCAGTCAACTGTCTTAAACCTACATATGTATATGTCCCGGTTTCGGTCCGCCCTGTGCTGCCCTCCATCGAGTTGTAATCGAGACCCGAGGCCTTGTGTAAACCAATTAATCCAATTTTTTTGTCTACCTCTCTGCTATCGTTTCTCTTTTCCCGTTTGTCAATTGTCGTTTGTCGTTTTGCCATTTTGATTTGTGGCTTGTGTAGGAGCCAGTTCGTTGTGCGCCCTACTTGGAAAGATTGTACAAGGTTTGCAGCAACAAAAATAGACACCATAGCACCACAGCCACTTACTCTTAAGCCCAAATATATTCTTGCATTCTTATCGTTGTTGTTGACATCATTGTTCTTAATTTCTCAATAAGCTTGCTTCTCTATTAGTTTTGCCATTTGTGTGGCCATTGTTGAGGCTATCCACTTGATGAATCCTTGAGTTCCTTTTTCCCCTCCACAACCAACAACCAACAACCAACAAACCATCGACAATAGCCACACAGGTTTAAACGCATTCGATAAGGTTTTTCCATATATTCTTCATATACTTCTTCATATATATTATACTTTCTCTGCCCTAAGCTACTAAATTAAATCATTCGACCCCAAAACAAACTAGTCACACTCGAATTGGTTACCAAAATTCATTTATTCTTCATCTTACTATCGTTGTGAATGAAATTTCAGAGTTTTGAGAGTTAATTAACAATATTTTACATCTTTTCTGTAATAGGTGCCATCCATCTGGCAGGACCCATAGCAAAGGTATCCAAGGGCCTGTGCAAGCTGGCCCTAGCCCACTGCGGACTTACATCCAAGGGAGTGAACCAGATGTCGCAATCGCTGACGCTCAATCAAAGTATTTCCAACTCGCTCACGTATTTAGACCTTAGTGGTAATAGTCTCAAAGATGATATAACCGTAAGTACTAACTTATAAGGCAAAGGTTTATGGAATTTCTAGAATGTTTATTTGTTTATACAGAATCTGCACAATTTCCTGGCTCAACCCAATGTGCTGGAGCACTTGGACCTCGCCTCGACTGACATCACTCTGGAGAATGTATGTGTTTTCCCATTAGCATCTATTAAGGTACAATCTAATAATCTATTTATTTTAGTTATTTGGCGCTCTGCTGCGCGGCTGTGCCACGCATTTGGCCCACCTGAACGTATCGCACAACTCGTTTAGCACCAAAAAGGGCAAGGAGATCCCGCCGTCGTTCAAACAGTTCTTCACCAGCACCCTGAGTCTGAAGCATCTTAACATAGCAGGCTGCAAGCTGCCCATGGAGGCCCTGAAGAACCTCCTGCTCGGTCTGGCCTGCAACGAGTCCACCGCTGGTCTCTACTTGGATCTCAGCAGCAATACGCTGGGCGCCCAAGGTGCCCACGTTCTCGAGTCCTGCATCCATGGAGTGCGAGTTTTGCAGAGCCTGGATATTAGCGACAACAGTGAGTGCAGAACGAATTAAGGACCAATTCGCAGCTAATCTCTTTTGTATCTCTTAGATTTGGATGCAGAGCTCGCCCCTGTGCTGACTGCCATTTCGAAGAACCCCTCGATCCGAACACTCCACCTTACCCGCAGCCTCACGGGCATGAAACCCAAACACATTCCTCCCGTTATGGATGCCCTGGTAAA